AAAATGGTGCAACATGCATATTTGCCGGCCTGTGAAGGTACTGTTTTGGGCTCAGTTCGGAGATGATCGACGAATTTCGAGAAGCTTCCAAATGCCTGGTCTTCATGTCTTCGGACTTTAGTACCTGTGAAGTCCGGTTCTGGAGATTCCTAAAAGACCGTGTCTATGAAGGACACATACAGATCCTGCTTGAACGGAAAGCAAGCATAACGAGCGGTATTGCTAAAACGTTTCAAGAAACCTTTCGTGGAACTGTTAAAAATACGAGAGTGAGCTTTAAACATGCGATTATCATAAATGGAATGGTTATTAGACAAATGTTGTAATTAAATATAGTTTTATATTGAATTTATTGTTATTTATGCGCAAATGTGGTTTATTATTTTCTATTGCAGTTTTACTTTCTCCTTTTTCTTTCTTTAGTCAATGAAATGTGTGTGTCACATTTCGACCAAATCCATAGATCTACAGAGATCTAATTATAACCATCCTATACTTGTAATTTATTGGTTAACATAAATGTTTAAGCTAGCGTACTTTGCTGCGATTATTGGTGTATATAGTTTTATACTTTCTTTCTTTTCCTACATAAACATTTGCTTCAGCTCTCGTTCGGTATTTCTTAGTTTTCGTCATGGCAGTGTTTAAATAGAGAATCTTTCTTGCAAAATGCGTAATGAAGATCTGTAGATTTTCTAGTAACATTCTAGAAACTGATCATACGCATTACCGAAATCGAAAGTTGAGTGGAAGAGCTGTTTATTGCACCAGAAGTATGCGTGGGAAGAAATGAATAATTCACCTTTTTATTCTGAAGCTGATGGAAGTAGACCAAAATATTCTCCTACGATTTGTCCTCCACCAGCTTTTTTTAATTACCTCACGCTCTTCCGTCTTTTGCTCATTCTCTAATTCAGTGATGTGTTACGAAAAATTGCCGAAAAATAAACCACACGTTTACCCGAACTCAATTCTAGATTGCCGGGGTGATAAGATACAATTACCACCAAATATTCAAGGCAGAAGTGATTTACTTGATTAGGTCTTCGGATAAATCAAGGCAATCTAAACTACGAAGGGTTGTATAAATTATAAAATAAATTTCCATTTAATTTTAAAATTAATTTGAAGATAGAAGTTCTGTCCATTGCCGTCTTTGAATGCATGTTAATCAAATAAATTTCAGTTAATGTAAATCCGTAATTTACGATAGAATATACGGAGAAAGCAAGTTACAAATTGTTAAATCTATCTTTTCTTTATTTGTTATTTCCCTCTTTTAAATTGTTATTGTTCGTCTGTTTTCTTCCTTATTAAAAAGTGCTAATAATTAAAGGTTCAGACTTGGTTAATACTAGCAGATAATGTTAAAAAAATGCAAAATCAAATTAAATACTAAGTACAAAAGCATATTATTAGCGTAAAATATGCTACCATTCTTAAGAATTATGATCCAGACTTCATGTCTGCTATCATTTGACGCAGAACCTATGTGGATGTAGTAAACGTTCTGCCTATTATACTTTAAGCATTAAGTGGTTTTTGTTGACATACTTTAATGTTTTAGGCACATAAAGAAAAGCAGAAAACGTTGTTATATTTTTACGAATATAGGATAACATTTATATTGCGTAATACTACTCTGAAAACATGTATTCAGCAGTCTTTTTACAGACATCTGTTTTTGCAATTTTCTTTGAAGTTTCAGATTTATCCATCCTACTAAAATATTGTTTCTTTGAGAAATATGAGTAAAGGCTTACATACGTTCCCTAAATTCGCTATTCTAATTTCCTTTGAGGGCAAATTTAAATATAACTTCGGGAAGAAATATTCGCTTAAGAAGATTGCCTTTTTTAAAACAAATTTACCTAAACTGTGACGTACCTGGTATTAAAATGTATGCAAGGGAATTTCAAACCAGAAACTAAATGGATTTGTTTCATTTTTCAACGCATTACTGGAGGGAGAAAAGATTTTCTTGACATTTCAAGTGAAGTTTATACGTTTAGAAAAGAAAAACTTTTTTAAGCTTAGGAGAAAAAAATTCGTTATATATTTACGCGTTACAATAGTAAAAGCGTAAACTGTTTCTGAAGAACTGTATTTGCAAAGATATAAGCGAAAGCAAGATGTATGATTTTACACGCTATATTTAAATCGCATCTATCCCATAAGGCTAGAATTAAATAACAAAATATACTGGTTTACTGAAATGAAATTTGGAGATATATTTTTGCATAAGCGCTTATCTCTGCTAAAATGACATCATTGTCTTCAAAAACAAATAAATAAACCAAAAATTTGTAGAAAGAGCTGTGTAGACGATTAATGTGGATGAGTTAAATTATCAGTGCGAGAGCAGCGTAAAACGTATCTCGTAGAATACAACAAAAGCTAGTCTCAACCCACCTGTAAATATATTGCCTATGATGAAATAATATATGTGTTACCGAGCAGTGTTAAGAAACTCCGTCATTTTATGTAATACCTTGCTATTTTATGAAATGCCTTGCGGTTTTAGGCAAAGTATCAAATATGAGAATTGTTATGTATTTTTTAGTGATTGTATGCAATACCTAGGTATTCTATATAATGACAAATGCTATTTACGTAAAGTGTATAAAAAAGGTAATGATTAGTCTTGTATGTAAAAGCCGTACATTTCTAAAAAATACAAATGTCCATTTTCGAAAAACAATGAAAGAATGCCATTAAAAATTTTTATTTAAAATACGTAAAGAAAAATTAAAGTTACACAAAACAAAATTTATGCCTTTCTTATGAAAAAAATACAATGCATGGAAATGTAGGAAATGTATGGAATTAGGGAATGAATGTATTAAATGTAAGGATGTTCGAAAAGAATTGGAGTTGTATTTGCAAACGTTTCCGGTTTATCATTTGGTATTCCAAAGAATGACTATGAAATGTACGAAATGTTAATCGTTTCGTATATTGCGGGCCCAGTTTTCGGTATTCAATAAAATGCCTAGGTATTCTATTATAATGCTGACTGACATACATTGCCGATAACGTGTGCTACAGGATGCTGAAAATGGGCCATTAAGACATGAGCCATGCATCTTCCTCAATTTATTTCCTGTTTGCTTTCTAAATTAGTTATAGTTGTGCACTTTACACATATTCATTTTGTAAACCACGAAATGTTCCCTGAGTTGGTCTGTTCACTGTGATTTAAGCCGATGTAGAAATACCTGTACTCAGTGCATTTACTGCACGGTTTCCAGTTGTTTCATATTTCCGAAATTTTCGTAATTAGATTTTATTGGCTAATTACGACTGCTGTAAAACAGATTATTTCTTTGACATTTTTAATTGCATCTCATATATGCTGTACATTTGATCCGTAATAATCGCATTTATTATTAAATAAAGACTACATTGTTTATATTGCACCAACATAATTACAAAGTGAGACATCTTGCCAGAATAAATGAATTGCTTCTGTTTGCTTTTGTTCTGGCTAAATATTTCAAAGATTAAATTTCCATTTTAAATTACTGTACTTGCAAACAAAATGTTTTCTAACTAATGTACATTTCGGTATCTTTCGCATTTATTCATTCTTTACTTGCGCGGATTGGTCAATGGGGGGGGGGGGAATTTTCAAATTTTCAAATTTTGTAAGTTTCCAAGAAGCACTGTATCACCAAATCTCCTTCATTCTTTGCTTTATATCTCCGTTGCAGGGATTAATTGGGTGAAGTTTCAAATTTTGAAAGTTACCAAGTAGCACTGTATCACCAAATCTAGTTAATTTTTACAATTTTATGACTGTTAATCTGTTAATAATTAGCAGGCAATTCTTTTACTTTTATGTATTTCTTAGATGAGTAGATCCAAATATTTTTTTCCTTACATAGTAACTGACAATTCAAGGTTTGAAGACCTTTCTTGCCAGAATCATTTCTAGAAAGTAATGTTAGCTACAATTTAATGAAATGTAACAAAGAGTTACTACGGCAAAAGAGAAATCAAATTCCTGAACTTATTCATTCCTGACACTAACTTTTTCTTATTGAGGGAATGAAACTTTATATGACATCCGACACTGTTTCCAATAGAATTTAAATAATAATTGAGTTACCCAGTATTTTTCTTTTGTAAAGTGGCTTATTCTGATAATTACTTTTAAGCAAAGACAGACTGCTTATCTTTCGCTTTTGTTATTATATTTTTGCTATTATACTTATACTACTACTTATATAAACACAAATTATTCAATTGTATTGTATTGAGAGCGTTTTATTAAATACTCTTGAGAGATCTAGATAATAATTAAATAACATAAAAAATCAGATTATTTTAGTTAATTTCGATACGTTGGATTCGAACATGCAAGTTGAAATTTGCCAAGTATGCTTAGTCGGAGATTGATTCGAAGTCTTAATGAAAAAAAAAGGGTTTCACGAAATGTGAACAATTTATTGTGTGTACAAATATTAGTTTTATGTCTATTATTGCCCAAAAAAACGGGAATATAGTTCATATTTTTCTTATTTTCATTTCTTCTTATTTATTGCCCAATTCTATGGAAACAAATTGTCAGATTGTCAAAACAAAAATTAGCTGTAGAGCCACTCTTTTAGTCATTGCAACCATCAATTCTGGCAAAAAATAGGTTTTTATTGAAGAAATAATTTAATTTACATATGTTCTTAAAAACTTGGAGTTTTAGCTAATCTGAGAATTTTAACTTCTTTTTAATTTCTGTTTTTAACTAATGCATCTTGAATAACTAATGCATCTTGAAACTTAACTTTAACTAATGCATCTTGAAGTTTATCAAGAAGAAATGTAAAAGGCATCGAGCATATAAGGTGTAAATTAGAATGTATCGTTCAATATCATACGGATGATTTAATTTTATATCTTTGTTGCACTGCTGTGTCGATAAGGTACACTGAAAAATAATGCATAAATTATTACCTTCTGAATTTTATGGATTGACTAAAATGCTTTCCTTATTTTTGCAGATAGACCAGTCTGGAAAAATCCAGACGTAGATACTTTTTATGGCGTCATTGGTTCCATAGCGAACCTCACGTGTGAAGCACAATCCCAGCCACCTCCTACATTTGAATGGTTCAGGGGAAGAACGTTGCTTGGTAACAGTCAGATTTATAGAATCATCAATGGCATGTGGAAAAGTGTTATACAGGTAATATAAAAAATCCATGTTTTTGGATGTAGTTGCATTACTTCATAGAGTTACTCGTATTCTAGATGCAGGATAACTTCTTAATTTTTTAAAAATAATAAATATATAACAGCTGAGAAATAATGGAAAAAAAAAAGGGAAAAATATCCGAGGTACATCGCCCATTCTCCTAGATCATTTTCTTAAGTTATATTCGAAAGAGTTTTATATTATATATATATATATATATATGTGTGTGTGTGTGTGTGTGTGTTCCGTTTATTTTTTATGTACGTTCCACTTGTTATCTGGACCACTTGCACCTCATCAGCAATATGAAGAAATGCCAAACTTCCTTATAACATGAATAAATCTAGGCGATAACGTTATTGCTATATATGTTTCAATATATGCTTTGTCTTAACCGTACACGATACAACAGTTTTTGAAGATATATAAGCTTTTAAAGGAACGCTAAACTCGTAATAAAAATCCACGTACATCAGTGATTTCGTGAGGTACCTCTCACAGATCATTGCTCTCACACCAATCCACGGGCACCATTTTTAATTGGTATTAAGTGGCTTTAAGAACTAGTAGCGTAAATTTATAGCATTAGTAAAACAAATGCTGAAAGAAAGTTTTTGACTGAAGTCTGGAAACCTACAGCAGAAAAATACCTTTTGCTGTACAAAATTTGGTTAGTAAACAACAAGTAGCAGAGACACAATAGTACCAATATCTTTGTTGCGTCGCTGTATCTAAAAATTAAATTAATAAACATTACGGGTACAGCATTTGCATGTGGACTGCAAATTTTATCTTTTTGTTCAGCGGTTTTAACTTTAGAACATAATACAGCTAAAAGTAAAGCGAGAAAGTTACAGTTAGTGAATACAAGAATACAGAAAACAAAAGTGTGAGCCACGGAATGCGAAAATAAGTTTTCGCAGATTGGCGATCAAGTCAGAAAGGCAGACGATCTGGTGGCCGAAACTGTCTTCCTTCGAGAGTATCCTAAAAATCAAAATTTTCCTATTTCATTTGAGACACGTGTCATATCGAATGCAGTGACTAAATGTGTGCAAGACATTCTGTGGTCAAAGTTAACCATATTTATTCCGTGTCTTAAAAACAAACTGCTGCTAAATTTAGTTTAGTATACGCAATATTCCAACACCAAATGCCAAGAACCCATTCTCCGGCCGTAGGTAAGAAAAATTATTATGTGAACCTAGAGTGCAAATGTCACAATTTACAAAGAACGAGCAGTCGTATTCACAATTGGATGAGAAACTTAGCTGGACAACGTGCTTCATGAAATCATGAAAAAGAAAGAAGATGTTGAGAGATGTTGTAATTTGTCTCCATGGCAAGAGAAAGAAGTAAAAATACTACACACACCACTCTGATCATCTGCAGCCCTGTCATAACCTAGTCATTTTCTTCTAAATGTTAATGGGTATGTTTTGCTTATCATTGTCAGTAGAATGCATTTGTGCATCTGGCGAATTTATTCAAAAACATTATGCATATCATATTTAACAAATGGTTAAGATGTCAGAATTAGGCTATCTCATATTTGGTGACTCAGTTTGACAGTTCATATTTTATGAATATATTAACTGTATCTCCAAACAGTTGATATCCCAATATTTCCAAACACACTCATGTCCATAAATTAAGGATAATGCAAAGTCAGGCAAAGGAAAGTTAGAAACAAAACAAATTTGACTTTTTTGTAAAGCTTATTTATTAAACAAAAGGTAAAGCGCAAAAAAAGAGATGCTATATGTTTGATATTATTAAAAAAAATTAGCGATTTTTTTTCTCCCTGGAGCAAATTACCAAAAAAAAAAAAAAAAAAAAAAAAAACTTATTTACAAAAAACCAATATTACATGGTTGGTTTGATTGTTAATACATTGTATGTCTCCCAGACGATGCAATACAGTCCGTACAACGCCTAGGCATCTGAGTATCAAATTATCGATCTGATCTTGGGGGATATTACATCACTCAAAAAGCAATGCACTCCGAAGTTCCGGTAGACATGTAGAAGGAGGTTGACGGGCTGCAACTCGTCGGCCAAGGAGGAGGTTGACGGGCTGCAACCGTCGGCCAGCATGACACGTGTTCTACTCTCAAGTCTGGTGAGAATGCTGGCCAGTCTGTACGGGTGATATCCTCCGATTGAAGGCATTCGCTTACGATATTTGCACGGTGAGGACGGGCGTTGTCATCCATAAAACAAATTGTGTGCCCATGGCACCCCGAAACAAATGTACATGTTGTTCCAGAATGACGTCCCGATAGATATGGCTTGTCATGATTCCAATTTGAACATGAAGGTCAGTTCTGGAACCCAGAATAATTCCACCCCAAACGAGCACTCCTACACCACCGTAACGGTGTCGTTCAATGATGCTTTCTTGGTGGTAACGAATACCTGGAGCTCTCCATATGAAAGTCCGGCGAGAATCAGACTGCAAGCTAAACCTGGACTCGTCGGAAAACATCACACAAGCCCACTGTTGCGGTGTCCACAGTGCATGCTCTCTACTCCAGGCTAACCGCAGGCGACAGTGAGTTGCAGTAAGTGGAACGCATCTGACAGGTCTACGAACATATAAACCAATCTGCCCTAAGCGTCTGTACACGGTCTGCCTTGAAATTGTCGTACCAGTGGCTGAAGAGAGCTGACGAGGCAGGTCTCAGGCTGTGCTCCACCTGTTTGTTTTGGCAGTAACTGCCAAATACCGGTCCTTATTCGGCGCTGTAACTCTGGGGCGACCTGTGCTGTAACGTCTACTCACATTACCATCATCTTGGAATGTTGCCAAAGCCTGGAGATGACACTCTGGGCAATTCCAAGTTGTCTGATACTTCCAGTTGGGTACGCCCACATTCCAGACGGCCGATAATTCTACCACGTAAAAAATCATCCAAATGCGTCCTTTGTGTCATAACTATTCGGTTATTGACCTGAAATGCTTATAAAGCTCCTGGGAACAATTTTACTTCTTTGCTTGTACTCCTTATATACCACTCTTTTACTCTCTCGTAATTGTGACGTACCATCGGTGTCATCTGGTTACTTCCTAAAATTTGCATATGATTCTTGAAAATGTGTGTAGTGATTTTACAGGTGATATATTTATTTTAGAGTTCGATTTCCGCGTGACTCCGAATTATCCTTAATTTATGGATATGAGTGTGTTTGATAAGTCTTATGTTATATTTTCCCATAAGCTATATACTTAAAAATAATAATTAAAATAAATAAAACACAAGAATAAAAATAACAATTAAATAAATAGAACACAACAATAAAAATAATAATTAAAATAAATAGATAGTTGAACACATCATGGTCTTCATTTTCTAGATAATATTGGCATCCTTTAAATAATGTAAAATCTCTGTTAATCGTACCAAATAAGAGGTAATATCAAAATTACGGCCCTCACAATCGGAAATCGGCCCTCACAACGGAAAGTATGAAAAATATTTCTTCCATCCATCGAAACTAACTTTATGTACAGTGAGCCAATGAATTAACCAAAATCTAAAAGAAAAAGAAACTACCCATCCCTTTTCATTCGTCGATATATGAATTTTGGTGGTAGGGTACTTGATTTTCAGAAGCAGTTGACACTGAAAGACATCATATTTAAACTGTCCGTTGCTTAGAAAGATATAAAGAACGTTCCACTAAATCGCTGCTAGCGTAAACTGGGATCTATATAGCATTTGATGATGAAGACAGAAATGACGAAAATTTACTTCGTTTAAGTTCATCCCGCACTGGTGCCGACATTTTGGTTTACATGCATGTTCACATAAGGTTAGGATTAGTGTAAAGTAGGTGCGGGATTGGAAAGATGTAGACAAATGTGGTCTCGTCACACTTTCTCAACATGACAATGAACCTGAACTGGGAAAAGAGGGAGATTATGAGGTTTATGAGGAAGACATAATGTTTTGAAGCTTCACTTTTTACACAATGCATTCTTAAAACTATGGCAAAAATTCTGAAGAGCATTCGAAACTATACGCCTATCACTTTAACAAATGTAATATATTCTTATGATAATATATATGGTGACTGTAAAATGTTATTTAATTTTGTTTTCTTCGGGTACACAAATCATGTTTTTTCGATTTAATTTTAAATGATTTATACGATTTTCTAAATTATTTTTATTATGGCCAATAAATCCAAAACATTACCAACGGACACCGTATGCTGTAATTTCTACAGCTGGCGTCACAAAATATGAAGAGCTTAGTTCGGAAAGTATATATTTAATTATCCGGAAAAATTCGATTATCCGTAACTGGCTGGGTGTCGTTGCTGCCTACGACAAATTTTTAATTCAAGCCTCGTAGTACCCCTGTTTGTACACTGCTGGCCACCGTAAATGTAACAAACACCCTGAAGGAAGCATGCAAATTTACAACAAGCATTATTGGAGTGAGATATGCAAATGATTAGAATTTCATCGCAGACGTATATCCCGCGCGTCTGTGGCGCCACTTCAAAGCGCTATTTAAGCCTTGGAGTTTTTGACGATTTCAAGTTCGGGAAATGTGTTTTTCTTGTGGTTTTGTTTAAAAAAACGATCAATTATGCCTCGTAATAAACATCGATCATCGTTTGATGAAGTACCCGAGTTCGACGGAGGAAGGATAGTGGCCTACCGAGAGTGTGGATTATCTTTCAAGGAAATCGGTAGTCGTGTTGGACGAAACCAAACAACTGTAATGCGGATATGTGACCGTTGGATGCAGGAGGGTACGACGGACAGACGTGTTCGATCGCATTCACCTCAGTGTACCACGTCACGTGATGACAGGAACAATGAGCGCATGGCAGTGATGGATCGCTCATTCACATCACGAAACATAGCACAGCACATTCAGTCTGTAACGCATCATCCAGTGTCTTCACGTACAATTCGACACCGTTTACACAAGAGTGGTCTGTCCGCAAAGACGTCCATTGCTTCGTCTACCCTT